CGCGCTGCCGCTAGTCGTAGTACTGTTGTCTCTACAACGTACCCACACATCACCACACACAGCCGGAGAATCCCCCGCCAACGTATACACAACGGCAGTGCCACATCGGCAGGTACAGCTGTTGGATGCGAGTCAATCCGCAATTGTCCCACGCACCCGAAAGGCCACACCATTCAATTGCTGCACACCGCCAACATCACGCCCGCAAAACGTCGACGAGGCAAATCGCGGACTCAAGCTCTTCTCGCAGAAGCAACCGCAGCCAGAATCTTGTGTGTGCGTGCTTGCTTTCACGCCACTCCACAGCGTGTGCAACAGGGCTTGTCTGTGTGTGCATGTGCTTGCGTGTTTGTCGAAGCCCATACTTGCAGAGCAGCTGTGCGCCACAAAAAGTCCAAAAAAAGAACCCACGAAGAAAGAAGCGGACAGCACACACGCAAATTACTCATATCGTCACACACATACACACAGCCGGCGGAATGGATGCACCCAACCACAAAATCAAAAAGAAAAACAAAACAAAAAGCCGAAGCGTGGGACGACCAGCGCACACACACTCTCATTGCTCCCGTAAAGCAAAACACACACACAGAGGGAGAGAGAGAGAGGTCGCCCACTCAATGCAATAAAAACAAAACAGAAACAGTTACGGTGCTCCGCCCATGCAGCCAGGCAGGACGGCAGCGGTGCGTGTCGTGCAAAAGAGAGCACCAACGGGCCTGCATGGGTGTGCATGCATATATACAATGGGCACATTATGTGTGTGCCTCGTGGGGTGAGGTGAGGGCGAGAGTCCATGCAAGGGGACACACACACAGCGAGTGAAGGAAGAGTGTGTGTGCGGGCGGTGCACGGCTCTCTCTCCCTCACTCTCACGCGGCCACCACCGCAGCCGCAGCCGCACACGCAACAAGAAGAAGCAAAAGAGGGGAGGTGGTGTGGGAGACCGCGGCGCTGCCGTCACTGTCTCCAATAGTCGTATCATTTTTTTTTGGCGACGGTGGTGGCTGTTGTTTCTGCTTTTTGTGGTGTATTTTCGCTGGCTGTAAGAGCATCGTTGGTATTACCAGTTTCGGGGCTGCTGTTGTGTTCTTTGGAGGTAGGCCGTTCATCGGTGCCATCATCCTTGCCCTCCTTTTCCTGGGCATCTCCACTTCTACTTGTAGGGATGGTTGTTGCTGTTGGTTTTCCTGGGCTGTCGGTAACTGCATCCTTCATCGAATCTGATGAGACGGAGTCTTTTCCTTTTTGCTCCCCTGCACCATCTGTTGAAGACTGCTTCATTTTCTTTTGGCTGCGTTTCGGTTTTTGACGGTGATCCTTCTTGCTTTTGTTCTGTTGAGGTCTGGGAGCCTGTTGTTGCCGGTGGGATTTCTTTTCCTGCTTTAACTGTTGGTGCTGGTGATTTCTCTGTTGGTGGTAGTGCTGATATTGGATCTTTTGTTACTTTGATTGGTTGTGTCTGTGTTTTTTGTAACGCTATTTGTTCTGTTTGTTTGCTGGAGGGGTCGTTTGCTACATTGCCGTTCCGCGCCTCATCTTCTCCAGTTGTATCCTCACCAACAACTTGACTTTTTGTCGTCACTCGTTGAGTGGAGGAAACTTCGCGAGCATTGGGTGCTGGCTTCTCTTGTGGGTGCTCTTTGGACGGTATGTCCTGCGCAGATTCTTTAAATAAATTCGAACTTTCTTTTGAATATTCCATTTGCTGGGTGGATGACACACCAATAACGGTCTGTGAACCATTGCCACCAGTGGAAATGAAAGGTGGAGGAGCAGAAATAAGAGCGGAAGAACTCAACACATTATCACCGCTTCTGTTAGGATTTCCACTTGGGCCGCCGCCACCACCGGCAGAACTGCCAACACCAGATACTTGTGGCAAAGTAATAAGTGATTTTTTGGTGTCTTCTTTTCCTGAAGCTCCTGCTGCTGGTGGTGGAGGTAGCCCTGATTCTTCACTGCCATCATCACCATCATTCGAATCATTATCTTCTTTCTTTTTCTCAGCATCATCATCTCCAACAACTTCACCTGCAGCTCGGGATGGTGACGCGTTTCCCTGATGCTCTGGCTGACTTCTTTCTGAGTCCGAGAGGTTTGGTTCTGGCAGTAAAGGTCTTGGCGATCCCAGCGTATCTTCACCACCACTCGAAGAACCGCCGGCTTTACCGTCAACATCCAAGGCGTCGACACTTCCACCGCCGGCACCGCACCACAGCACGCAGAGGGCACACACCAGCAGCACACGGCCAGCCATCATCATCGCCATCACTCCTGTCACTTGCGTGTAGCCTCCAGCACAAACTAACAACACGTCAACGCAGAGTGAAAGCAAAAGGAAGAGACATGTCACGCATTTCATGAGAAATGTTGAACCAATGAAAATGCAAAACGTACAAAGCCCTGCACAATTTAACAACAATAAAACACACAAAACAAGTGCAAAACAAAAGAAAAGAAAACAGGCAGCAATAAAGCAAAGCAGTAAAAACACAAAAAAATGCACCCAAATGGCTCCAGTGCACATGCACCTATCCTCAACAGTGCGTCCACGCAAAAATTTGTATGCATGTCGTGCATATGAGTGTGTCTGGGACGCGTTCAACGTGGCGGATGTGGGAAGCAACGCGGAGCGCGCAGCAGGGCAGCGGAAGCAAACAAAGCAAAAAACAATCAGCGTAATTACTCTTACTTCATACATAGGACCACAGTAGACGCACACATGTCCCCGTGGCTGAGTGCTGGCACGCACAGACCACGCTTCCTTTCAGCCCACAGCGGTGTACGCCAGCGCGGATACTGCGAGCAGCAGCGGGGCACACACCCACGCAGAGCTGCCGAGGCTGCCGTCGATTTCACGGAGACGTGACGGTGCGCGGATGGTCGTCGTGGTTGGCGCCTCGGTCCTATTCGTCGTTTGTGCCTGTACCGTAACGTTCGCCTCATTTTTTTACTTTGCCATACCAAAATGTTTAGTCTCTGCATTCTTAGCGTTTTTGTTTCCTTCGCCGGCCGCTCAACCTTGAGGCCCTTCCACACCCGACGCACCTTGTGACTGTCCCGCACCGCTTCCCAAACCTGTTGACCCTGGCGTAGTGGTCCCACGTGATCCCTCTGGAGTACTGGAGATTGTGTGGGAGTCATTACCTCCACCAGCGGCCGTCACGCACACGGAATTGCAGCAGCAGCACAATAGCGCAAGGACCAACACGGCGCACACCACACGAAGCCGCACCGTCACCATCGTCATCATTGCAGTCATCATCACCCGCAGTGGAGTCGCTGGTGTCAGTGAGCCGATCCGTGAGGCAGAAGGAAAAGTAATGGAACAGGAGGGAGGGGGACGGAGTGCAGCGGATACGGCGAGTGAGAGCAGACAACATGTGGAGAGGGCAGCAGGCCCAGCCGCACAGTTCACACACCACGAGACGGCATCCACGCAATGAAGGCACACAACGCCAGCAGCCAGCCACCATGCAGGAGGAGAAGACATCCACCACCATCTCCCCCAGCTCATCGCTACAGCCCCAGGGAAATGGCAAAAACACCGCGGCCACCACACAACGCAACACGGAGCAAGCACACACCACGATGCGGCAACAAAATTTCTTGCCATCCCGCCCTCAATGGGACACGGAGCCCAACTCAACGCAGTCACACGCGGTGCACCACACCCGCAGGAAAAGAGACTCGGGGTGCGCGCTCCCTCTACTCCCTTCTCCTCATGGCCACGGAAGAAGACAACAGCCGCCACACGCAACTGCCAGCATGCACTACAAAAGGAGCATTCAAATCCACTGCAATGTGCATCTTGTGTGGTTGTGTGTGCCTGCAGAAACACAAAGCAAAGAAGTAGAAAAGAGGGAGCAGAGTATGTGGAGGGACGCACAACAACAAAATGTACAGCGGAGACGCATGGCGGAAACAACAAGAAGAAGACCGCTCAAACTCATGACTGCACTGCAGCCCAAGAAGCGGCAATCCACACAAGATTTATTTAAAACAAAAAACCATCTCCTTCGTCTTATACAAACCCCATCACACAAAATAATTATAAATGAAAAAGAAATCGTCCAATGCTGTTCCACACAAATTTAAAAATCGCCTGGCTGCCGTGTGGCCACACCAAACCGTCCGTATATATTTTGCCCGAAAAGAAAATTAAAAAGATGGTTGCGTGTGTTTCAACCGTCCGACCCTCCATGTGTCCGCACATCGTTTATATTTCACGGGGTCATCCGCGTGTTGCTGCTCCCCTCAGCCCTCTCATCGGCGTGAGAGTGCGGCCCGCAGAGCACAGTCACTCGTGTGTGTGGAGACTGAGAGAGGCACGCAGACATGACGGGAGTCGCGTCACTCCATCGGGAGAGTGAGCGCAGCAAAAGAAATAAATCATCAGGAGGGAGAGAAATGCTGACGGGACTGCCAGCGCGTGAAATGAACACGAAAAGCAAAAAAAGAAAAAAAAGCACGGCGGCAGGGTGTGGCTGTGTGTGTGGCGCTGCGGGTGTCTGCCCGCCCTGGCCGCAAACAAAACAAAACAAGAGGGAAAGAAATGTGTGCTCCGCACCACAGGCCCTCGTCGCACGCCCACACGTCACGGCTCCCTCAGCGCGCCGTTCGTCGCGGCCCCTCCTCATGCGTGCAGCAGGCGAGGCGCACAGGGCCGTCGTCATGAGCGTGTCGGTGGTGTGCGAGTGGAGCAGTTGGGCGGGAAACACACGGCACCCCTCGCAGGAAGAGTGCAGCAACAAACAATTAAAAGAGGGAAGAGTAGAAAAGAAAAAAATCCATAGTGATTGCCCCAAAAGCAAAAAAAGTGGGATGGGAGTGAGAGATAAAAGAAAAAGAAAAAGAAAAAACAAAAACTCAATATCGCACAAAAAAGCAAATAAGGAAAAGTAAATAAAAGTTATTTATGAAAAGAAATTCATTGCCAGGTGTGTGTGTCTGTGCAGCGGGGGTCGCAAGTGTCCCACGCGGCAGCCAGTCACTCCTCACAGAGCCGCAAACCCCCACAGTCCCAACAGAAGAAGCAGCGATGGCAGCAGTCCGCTCCCACGCATGGTGCCAGCGTCGCTGTTATTCACCTGCGACACATTTCCGAGGCTGCTGCTGAGTGCCGAAGCATTTAATTCCCTTTCCTGTGGCTGGACCTCTTCCTCCTGCCCATCCGTTCCTTCCGTTAGCTCCCCATTCTCACCAGAGCTCACGCCCGCCTCAGGATTCACTGTGGGCCCATATTGCCCCTCGCCCTCAGTGGCGGGAGTATTTGCATCTGCTGTGTCAGAGATACCCACAGGAATTTGCGGTGATTCATTTCCCTGCGTCGTGTCTCCACCCACTGTCCCCACCGCCGGGTTACCATCAGACGAGGAATCGACATTCACATTTTTGTTTCCATCGTGAGATCCTCCCGACGCCAACTGCTCTGCAGATTGACTCCCCACTGAAGAAGTCGTCACAGTGGTCTTTGCAGAATTGGATGCACCACCACCACCCGCATCATTACTTATCTTCAACAATTTCTCTTCGGTGTCCTGATGCCCGCCATGAATAGTTGAGGAGACGGCTCCCAGCGTATGTGGTTCAGTTCCAGCTGGTGGACGAGTATCGCGTGCCACATTTTTCAGATCTGTCAGCCTTTGAATAGAATGCTTGTTCGTATTAATCGCAGTAATCTCTTCAGAGTTCAACGGGCGGTTGTACAGCAGGACATTCGTCACAGTCACAGGCACGTCTTCTTGTTCCCGTGTCTTGTCTCCATCCCCTCCAATGTAGAAGTGTGAGATCACTTTCAAATCCGTATTATCCAATTGACATTGCGCATCCCTACCCACACGCTGACCATCGAAGTAAGCGGAGAAGTGGCTGCCGTTCCGTATCAAAAGCACCACGTGATCTGTTCTCTTTTTCCCCAAAGTGCTGCTGTGCTCCTCAGGGGTTTTGCCACCGCACAGCAGCTGCCACTTCTTTTCGCTGTCGTATGACAACTCCATAAGTTTTTCTTTTTTTTCATCGCCAGCCATCTTCACACCCAACAAGGGAATATTACCCTCCGTCGGCTCACCGTCGATGGACACCGTCGCCACAAGGGTGAAGTTGTAGTTCGCAAAGTGGTACAGCTGATTCTCCCCCTGACTGCCAACAGGCCACTCCGCCCACGCTCCCTGGAATTTCACACCATCGGAAGTCTTTGTTGCCCCTTCTTTATTATGCACTGTGGCGTTCACCCCGAGGTACTCGTCACTCCACGTGTCGTCAGAGAAGTTGCCGGACAAAAAGCCAACCAGCCCATCCGTGATCTTAATATCAGCGCTGCAGGCAGTGCCAGTTGAGGTATCCCTCCCAACACTCTCAGTGGGACAAAGCTTGGAAACACGGTCGTCCACTTCCATCCAGGTCGCCAGCACATCCTTCACTCGCTGCAGCTGCGCAGTCAGAAGCACAGAAGCCATACCGAGTGATGCGTCTTCATTGCCGCCATTCTTCTCGTACAGTGCAATCAACTTCTCCCCCTCATTATCACCATTTCCACCTTTGTACAACAGGGAGCTGGCGGCAACGTCTTCTTCGTCCCCGGATACCGGCCCAATATCAACAATGTGCGTATTGTCTGTCAGCCAAAGATGGAGTTCGCCCTTTCCATTGCCGTCCTTACTTGAATACACCGGCAGAGTAACAAGCATCACGTCCCTGTTATCAATCTTCGCTGTGGTGAAACCGCTCCCAACGATTTCAACCGTTTCACCCTTTTTGTCGCTCCACACGCGCGAGAGTGTCCCGAGTGCCTCCGTCCACGAATCCCCCTTGTCACCGGACTCGTACACCCTGCGGCGGCCATCATCACACGCAGTCATCATCATGAGTTTGTCCTTCTCCCACTTCACGACGGAGGGATCACTGCAGCCATCGGCAGACATCCCCTTCGACAGTGCCCAACTCGCAATATCCTTCAAGGAGTGAATGATTAGCGAAACGGTCTTTGTCTTTACTTCATCCTCCTTATTATTTGCCTTCGTGGCCTCCACAGGGAACACAAACGTGCCGTCATTCATCTTAATACCCGATCCACCGCCGTTAGTCAGCTGCGTTAAGGATTTGTGTTGTTTTTCAAAAAAGGCGCTCGGGAGACCGTAAGTGTCATTCCAATAAATTCTTTTTTTACCGTCAACAGTACTGACGTTCCCTTTCACCAGCATGAGTCCCCAGCCAGCTGCACCACTATCCTGATCGCCAGCTTTAAGTGTCCAATTGTAACTCCCAGCAAGCATGTAAATATCACTTCCCTTCACAACCGTTGTTGGCCGGCTCACATGTACTTTCGTTTCGCTTTGGGAACCACCATCCTCAGCAGCGTTTTGGGAGGGGCAATTGCCACCTTCAAAAGGACATTTCTCCAGTACTTGTGTCTTCAGTTTATTTTTATCCAACTCCTCTTTTTTTTGTTCGCCATTCCACTCCATGAGTTCCGAGGCAATACCAGTAAAACTGCCTTCACCAGTAGTTTTTTTTCCCGTGCAATGCGCCTCGGCAACGGCAAACACATCACCGTTCATCTCAACAAGACTGGGGACACGGAGCGAACTCACTGTTTCCCCATCTTTCGCATCTCTCCAATCAAAATATGTTTCCTTTGCATTTCCCGAACCTGGCGCCGTCACCTCACTGGATGCAGCCCCACCAGTGCCGCAGCACATCATCACAACGAGGAGCAGCACCGCGGAAGTAAACACACGCCGGGACATGTTGGGCCTCTGCGGCTCACTCTCTCTTCCTTCCCTCCTCCTCCCGCTGGATCCGGTCACGCGGCGACGGTTGTGTGTGCAGGGTGCCTTCACTGCAGCAACACGTGAGAGCATACAAATATGTGTGTGTGGGCGGTGTGTGTGCTGTTGTTGGTCCTTTCAGTGCCTTCCAATTTCACAGTAGCGATTAGCGCTTTTTTTCTTTCTTCGTGTGTAAATAAGAGAAATAGAGAGAAAACATGCCAAGAAAAGAGGTAAAGCAGTGAGCACCGCCACCCATCCACAGTGAGTGGCATCATCATCCCCGCCGTAGTCACTCACAACAACAACAACTCACGCACACAGACACACGGAACGAGACGGAAGAACAGTGCACCGGGAACACACAGCGACTGTCACCAATAGCAGCAGGAGTCACGGCGAGTGTGTCGTTATTCACGCGTCAGCACACACCGAGCAACGCCCACACACGATAACAACCAACGGGAGGCAAAAGGGCACAACGGTCATTCGCAGCAATAAAGCGCTGCCGCCGGTCGTTCAATTCTTGTCCCTCCATCGCACCCGCTCCGCCGCTGGCGCGCATCACCCCACACAGGCGAAGAATCCCACATCGGCCGATGAGCAGCAAAAGAGAGACGGCAGCACGTGCAGCTGCTGTGCGGGAGGCGATACGCACGTACCCCAAGCACCCTCAATGACACACCACCCAATCAGCTGCATGCCGCCAACACCACACCAGCAACATGTCAGAAAAACGAATTGCAGGCTTTTTTCCTCCTCGCAAAAGCCACTGCAGCCAGAATCTTGTGCGTACGTGCGTTTTCAGCGTTCACGCCGCCCCAAAGCATGTACGACGTGGCGTGTGTTTGTGTTTGTTTGTGTGTGTGTCTGTGCGTACTTACATGTGCTCTTGTGTCTGTCAATGCCTATACCTGCAGGGCGGCTGTGCGGCACAAGAGCGTCCAAAGAAAGCAACGGCATTGAGAAGCGGATAGCACACACGCACTCCCACGGCGTCGGAACAGAAGATCTTCTGGAAACCCAAATCGGCGGCTGTGGGTAGCTTGGTGCAGCAGTGGAGAAGGTTGCGGTGACGGACATTTTCTTGCTAACCCAAATTGAACGTAAATCTGCCTTTTTCCCTTGTGGCTACCGTCGGAATCGTTGTCCGCGGGATCGGCATAGCCGGGCGGAAAAACTAGGCAATGAATGAGGAGATTCTTCGTGAAGACACTCTCATCAGGGGCGATTCCTATAACTTCTCCGCGAGAACTTCGGTGAGTGCTGTTTGAGGATACTTGATGCCTCCAGCTGCTCGTGGGATCCGCCAGCAAAAAGCGTTTTGCGACGCCTCGTGGCCCGGGTGGAACAAATGGCCGCGCCGCAGGAGGGAACTTGGCCCGTGAGGGCCTTTTTCCTCCCGCTCGCGGGGCGTTCCTTCGCCGCAAGGGCTTTTCTTCCATTCTGCCTGGCCGCCGCGCTTCGCTCTTTTCCGTGTCTCCCCTCCTCCTTGTTTCATTTCGCCGCCGCGCTTCGGCCCATGGGAGGCGCGGCGCCATCATGTCGGCCCCACTCCGTGTCAAACGCCGCCCTCTCATGGGAGGACACGTGTGCTGCGCGTTTGTCCGGGCGGCGGGGACGTCTCGTCACCAGCCCGCCACCTCCTAGAGACGCTGGTTGCAGGTGGCAATGCGATTGGGGCGGTCCAAATGCTTGGCATAAACCAAAATGAGAACGATGCCTTAGCGGTCCACTGTTGTTTTGCCTCGAATGAATGCGGAAAATAAAATCCAAGTTACACCAAAGGAGCCTGAGAGAAATTCAGGGAAGTTCTTTGCAATTGTCAAGGCTTCAGTGGACAAAGACAACATATCACTGCGCATGTTTCTCTTTTTCTTACTGGTGTGCCATTGCTATTTGGGATCGTTTCACTGCGTGAATAACTTCCGATGACACTTTGTGGCGTCCCGGCTTTTGTCTCTTTCTTCAAATAGACGACCTCTTGACTGTCATGAAAACACACGCTGACGGAACTTGACCGACCCACGACACAGAGGACAATGAGTCACATTTGTTGCGCATGCATCGCATAGGCAATAATGTCCACATGGAACGAGCACCGTTTCCTTGGGAGAAAAGCACACCACGCACCTCTCATGCTCATCCGTCTTTTTATCATCGTCACCATTTTCTAATCTATGACACAATCGCTGTGAGACTGCTGTCGCATGGCCTTTTGAAGGTGAGCTGACGCCTTCTTCACCAAAACAAAGCGGGATTAAGCCTTCAGCTGACAGCAACTGGCACAGCTTCTTGACGACATCACAAAGTGAGGATGAAACTGGATGCCATGCTGCTAGCTCCGGCGTGTGACAACGTCCGGTAGCATCAACGTATTTGTGGTTGCTCGCTATTCTGCAGCCTTGTTCCGCGCTGAGGAGAAACGCCAGAGGAGGCTCAATGGGGTACAGGTGCGTCAGCCATATCTGCAAGGGCAAGACATAACGATGTGGTGGCGCTTGTTCACGGCTGTCTGGGGTTAAAGGAGTGTGGTCACTGTTGCTCTTCTTAATAGTAATAGGAAGCCCACCATAGATGCAAATTTTTCCTGTTGTGTCATTCCCCAAGTGGCGTCACGACAGTAGAAATGGAAGGTGTTGCACAAATTCTCGACGTCGTGAAGGATGCGGTCCAGAACCTCAGGCTTACAGTGTGAGGAACAAATAAAAAAACGAGTAATAATTTCGTTCATGTTATGTTTGATTGTATGCTTTCCCCTAAAGGGCTGAAGGAAGCCCCTCAGGAAAGGGAGAATAAACCATGCAGCAATAATAAGGTTGTGGGGACTTCGTAGAAAGAAGGTCACAGTGTCTTCTTTTCCAGTTCGCATTCCCATTCGTAAACTAAATACAGAGCCTCCCTCTCTCTCTTTTTCTCCATATATATAGTACAAAGGAAATAGCAGGTGCGCTGGAGAAAGAGATTCCACCACTCATATAGGTATTCAATTACAGAAAAAAGTCTCTCGCAGAAACCCGCATCTATGGGCAGAAGAAAAGAGATCGAAATTCACTCGGTGGGTGAAAAACGGCCCGAAATCACTTCAAAAGCGGTTTCTCCAGCGGGCTCCATGCGTGTGTCGCCTTTCGTCGGCTGCATCGGCAGGCAACGTGGATCCGCGCCTTGAAAACGCCATGCCTCCGGTAACGATGTATAAGATCGGGAAAGAATTATTTTCCACACGCCCATTCCTCAAGCATGCGGCACGTGCAAGAATCCCAAGCTCATATCACCAAGACAAGTTCCATAAAACAACTTTCCAAATCGATGGAACGCAATGTAAATTTCCAGAATCGAGTGCCAAATATGGGTCCATTGCGTTTCTGTTGCTTGTTCATCGTGTTTTTTTCCAAATAAATTCCATAACCCACACGCCGGCCACCGTCTTCGAGCACGTCCGTCCTGCCGAGTGGAAACGTAAAAGGAGGTCCCGGCCCCGGAGAGGGCGTGAAACGCACACGATACGCCATGCCACCGAGCTAGCACGATGGAACGATGATCCCCCGCCGCCGAGAATCAATGCAACAAGGAGCTACACAATTAAAGGACTCTTGTTGAGTTCAACAACGTCGCTCTTTCATTTCCATTTTTGTCGAAGAGGAAATTACACCCTCATGACCATAAATTCTAAACCAAAAGCGGATTCTACTCAAAATAATGGTGCCACTCTTTTTCAGGTGTCGGGCTAAGCAGATCTTTTTCTACCACCGGCATCCCGACAAAAGTATTTTGCCGTCAAGTTAAACGTTTATTCAACAGAGCCGCTGTTCTCCCAATAAGCGCACCGCACGGCGTGACACCAGTTTGAGCAAACAGTTCTCCTTCCTAACACTGCGCCCCATCGAGCAAAACAGCGCCTCACGATAATATAAATAAATAATGGAAAATAAACAAGCAACCGCCGACGTCTCGCACGCACTAAAAGCTCCGGCAACCAGAGAACAAACACCCCTCCACAGGTGCTCGTATAGAGGCAAATAGCTATTAATTGCCTACCGCAGTTTGCTGCATGCAAACGTCCCAGTGGCAGAGATAACAACTCACAAACGCTTATACAAAGCAATATTGGGCTGGGCTGCTGGCCGGATCCTGAAATGATCTAAAGAAGTCAAACATGACGGATGAAGAGAAAAGTTAAATAGAGAGGCCGTGGGTTCGCCACCTCCTTAGTGTCTGCTCCAAGAATATATATTCGGACTGCCACTGTCATGACACGATGTACTTTGTTAGTACTAGATATATTATAACTCATAAAGTGGCAAACTTTGGACTCCTCCTGCCACAAGACCCCGCCGCTTCCCTTCGCCAAGTCCTGAAGTGTAAACACGCGACCACGCGATATGCCGTCTGCAGGGTTTTCTGCTGGCACCACGTAGGCAAAGGATGCCTTTATCCCGCGAGACTCCAAAAACTCATTTTTCCGTTGCGGCTCCCGCGTCAAGGCGTGTGATTTCGAGATGCCTTTATTCGCCGCTCCTTGCAACGAAGTATTGTCACCAAAATGTCGATAGTGAACCGAGAAATGGGAAGGCAACCAAAAACAAACTGCGCACAGAGAGTGTCTCTGCCCGCATAATAACAAGAAGGCTTCCTCTTCCATTTTCCTACAGTAATATTAGAAAAACAGGGGTTTGAAAAAACTCAAAAAACCTATTCGACCATGAATAGAAGAATCAGTCCTAACGGCACACGACAACTAGGCGCAATTGATGATACACTTAGGATTGTCCTCAATAATGTGTCTTAACCCCTCACCGTCACCTCACCCCACGAGGCACACACATAATGTGCCCATTGTATATATGCATGCACACCCATGCAGGCCCGTTGGTGCTCTCTTTTGCACGACACGCACCGCTGCCGTCCTGCCTGGCTGCATGGGCGGAGCACCGTAACTGTTTCTGTTTTGTTTTTATTGCATTGAGTGGGCGACCTCTCCCTCTCTCCCTCTGTGTGTGTGTTTTGCTTTACGGGAGCAGTGAGAGAGTGTGTGCTGGTCGCCCCACGCTTCGGCTTTTTGTTTTCCATTATCTTTTATTGCTTTGGTTGCG